TAAAATTATGCATCAAATATGAATGATATTCGCTGTTTGTATGTGATGATGTGTTCAAAAAAATAGAAAATGATTCCTGATCCAGACTGACACATCACTCTGTTCACTTTCTCAGTGCCTTCAGACAGTTTCTCTGTTTAGTTACAGGAGGAGGTAGAGCCCAGTCTCATGCTCTTGTCTGGGACATTTATTCCAATTTTTCATTTGAGGAACACACATAAGGGCTCTCGATCTCATCCACACACGCTACACTACATCTGGACAAATATGAAACAAAGTCATTTAAGTACTGAGTCGACCTGTAAAGTACATACATATTACATATAAAATGTAAAAAGTAAACAAGGTGACTGGGGAGGCCACTGGAGTTCACTAAACTCACTAATTCATGAAACCAGTTTGAGACACAGACCATTATCCTGCAGGATGTAGCCATTACAAGACCATAAACTGTGGTCATAGAGAGATAACCATAGTCAGCAACAGTACACAGACTATGACATTGATTGGTACTGAGGGTCTAAAATGTGTCAGGTAAACATTCCTCATACCATTTCACCACCAGCAGCAGCCTGGACTGTTGACTCCATGGATTAATGTCATCATCCATCTACAGCCTCAGCTAATCCAGATTCATCAATTCATCGGACCAGGCTACATTATCCAATCTTCAACTGTCAAGTGATGGTGGTCTGTGTCACTGCAAGCCTCAGATTCAGAAATGCACCATATCCTCCACCAATAAGTTCCTCCTCCAACAAGTTTTACAAAAAAAGAAAGACCTACATTGTATTCTTATAGTTATAGGAGGGGTTTTTTTTCCTTTTTGAAAAATGAAACTTTATAATTTTGAAACCCTGACTCAGAAATTAGGATTACAGACAATAGGAAATTTGTTATTAAAGGGAAAAATTACTGCAATTAAATTATGCTTACTGTGCTTGATTTATGCATTTGTATTATGTATATAATTCCACAAACATCTGTCTGTCTATCTGTCTGTATGTGGGAATGTGAAATGCATATCTTGCTAACCATTATCGACTTCACACTTGACATGTTTATTGTTATTGGCCCAGGGAGGTACAGTGTCAATTCTGGTACGATTCCGAGACCTGATTTGTTCAATATTATTCAATTCTGAATAAACTTTGTCCCCTTTGTCCCCTGATAAACTACATCAGTAGCTGACAACTGGGTCAAACTGCAGGCCAACACTGCCGCCAGATCATTTTTGAGATTTCAGTGCGATATTGGGTCGGATGTGTTGATTGGTTGACACACCATTGAAAATAGTCGGCATGTGATGTATGAAAAAATAACAGCAGTTGAGTGAAACATTCAAACTTACATTCAAGCTACACGTATCAACAGCACTGAAGCCAATTCAGCTTCATTTTATCGAATACTTTGACTTTAAAATCCTCCCTGCAGATAAACCAGGTCTCCAAATGACTGAAGGAAATGTTCTCAGTGTTAACTGCAGCCCTGCATTTTTACGATGTTGAGTTAAAGGTTAATTTGGTGTCACTATGTGTACTAACATGAAACACAATTAGATCATCCCATTAAAGTTATAGTGTGTAGAATTTTGTGATATCTATATATATAGTGTTGAAATGTCATGATGCAGCTGAACACCCCTCACTCACCCTCTCCTTCAAAACATGAAAAAGAACCTGTGGTAACTTCAGTTGTCTTAAACACTCAAAAGGTGTTTAGTTTGTCCAGTTTGGACTAATGTAAAAAACATGGCGGCCTCCGTAGAGAGGGTCCCCTCGTTGTAAATATAAAGTATTTAAATATAAAGGGCCTTTTCTGGGGTAAAGAAAACTACAATTCATAAATTTAGATGAAACGAACTAGTGAAAACATCATGAGGATTATTCTACATTAAAAAAAATAGTTCCTTTCACCTAAATCTTACACACTGGACCTTTAAGTTAAGTGAATCTCGACATTGAGAATTATTTTGTCACAATGTAATAATGTGGCGATACAGTGGAATATTGTTGGAAAGTGCTGATGTGTTATTTATCAGTAAATGATCTGTTGACTGTGGTAGTAAGAGGGTTTCACCCTGGAGCTGGAATGTGAGACTAACAAAAGGATGCAGTGATTCAGAACACACAAGGAGAACAACTACAGGCTGTAAAGGTGAGATAAGGAAAACTTCGGACAACCCCCGCCACAAACAATTAGTTTGTTCAATTGTCTCCGATTTCACACACACACACACACACACACACACACACACACACACACACACACACACACACACACACACACAGGGAGGCTTATAACTGTTATATTCTTACCAAACTGAGGTGTCTGGACGCTAAAGTCAGCTTAAATCCCTCTCATGGGGACAACTGTGTGTATTCACATTGTTGGGAGATACTACAGGGGATTCCTCACATTCCAGGATGGAAGTCATGCTGTTGATTTCATCACGTTGTGTCTGGGGACCTGTCTGGTCATCTGAAAGTCTATTTGCTTTCCCAAGGTGCAGGGACTACTGGTTATTACTTCATACTAATAAAAAAACACTTTGCATTTGTATCACTGAAGCAGACATGGCCAGTTAACACTTTTTTTTATTTACACCTGACTGCCTTATTTGAAGCAACTTTATCCTGTACGTTTCGTCGTATCAAATTGATTTAATCAGAATCATGTACGATCAACTGTGATAAAAAATCTGTACGAGCTTAAACTATCTTGAAAGTTACATTTACATATGTTGTCCCATGTGTCAGTTATTGTCAATTATACTTTTACAGAGGTGCAATAGAAAAACGTATTTTTGTTGTTACTGCTGTATCACGAGACTTCAATTATCCTTGTGTTACATCATATATAAAATGAATCTTTTATCGTTCAGTGAAAATCAGCGATCAGCAAATCTGTGAGGATTTTTACTTATTTATTCTGAAGTTTTCACCATAAATAATGGAGACGTTTTATTACCCACTACCTTTACTATTTTAAAGCTTATTAGCCGCTGAAAAAAAATCAGTGATGTCTCTCATTCAGTCATAATATCAAGAAAAGAGGCTATAATTAAAAAAAATTGACATAAAGTACAATGTTTGGTCAACCCCATTTCTTGACAGTCCATAATATCTTCAGTACCTTTCAACAATGTTTTTACTCGCTTAAAGGTTCAGCGTGTAGAATTTTGTGATATCTAGTGGTGAAGTTGCATGATGCAGCTGAACACCCCTCACCTCACCCTCTCCTTCCAAACATGAAAAAGAACCTGTGGTAGCTTCAGTTGTCATAAAAACTCAAAAGGTGTTTAGTTTGTCCAGTCTGGGCTACTGTAAAAAACATGGCGGCCTCCGTAGAGAGGGTCCCCTCGATGTAAATATAAAGTATTTAAATATAAAGGGCCTTTTCTGGGGTAAAGAAAACTACAATTCATACAATTTAGATGAAATGAACTAGTGAAAACATCATGAGGATTATTCTACATTAAATTTCTGCCCTTTCACTTAAATCTTACAGACTGGACCTTTAAGACTTGATACTAGATACAACTAGAGGTTGCAAAAGTACTTACATTCTTTTCTTAGGTAAAAGTACAGATACTCTGGTAAAAGTAGAAGTACTAATTCAACTCCTTTTCTCAAGTAAAAGTAAGAAAGTACAGGCTCTGAAATGTACTTAATTACAAAAGTAAAAATGAATCTATAACTTCAATGATGCACTATGCCTCTTTTGATAACTTTGGCAAAATGAAAAACATTCTCGGCAAACAAAATAGTATAGTCTTGCTCTTCTGTAAAGAACCTGCACAGAGCTGGGACAGAGAAAATAAATCACTGGACGCAGTTTAGTTTTGCTGCCAAATTTCAGACAGAATAATAAAAACTGAACTGAACCGAGGTCCTGCATGTCCACCTGGATAATGTTTTACAGGTAATAAATGGATGGTGAATGTGCTGGCATTGATAAAGTCCCTGCCCTTTGTACACACCGCCCATCGCTACTACCAATTGGATGGTTTGGGGAGGTCCTCGGATCGGCCCCTCCGGAGTTGGCAACGGCCCTGGCAGAGCGATACGCTCAAACTTGATTATCTGGAGGAGGTAAAAGTCGTAACAAGGTTTCTGTGGGTGAACCTGAGGAAGGATCTTTACCGGTACAGCTGCCCGACCAAGCTCCAGACACTTAGGCTCTCACACTGCCTGCGTGTCTCCCGAGGCAGGGGGCAGGCGAGTGAGCAAGAGGTGCTCCGTAAGTAAAAGTGTCAAAACAAGTAACGATCCAGTTTTGAGAATATAAAGAGGAGAACGTATAGATATTTGTGTTCAAAAGTAGGGAGTAAAAGTAAAGAGTCGTCAGGAAAATAAATACTAAAGTAAAGTACAGATACCTGAAAAATCGACTTAGGTACAGTAACAAAGTATTTGTACTTCATTACTTCCCACCTCTGGATACAATAACCAGTATACTGGTCTGGGTTGTGTTGCTATATCACCTCTGCCCCCACTATCATCAGATCTCTCTCATTCCTCCTCCTCTGCTTGAAATAAACGGTACAACATATAGCCCAAATCAGTGACTGTCCTCTACTGAATCTCAGGTAGTTCACCCTCTGCTCTGTGTCCTGCTCTACATCTATAGTGTTCAGTTTATGCAAACTGATGTTTAGTCCTCATTTAACCTTTTTTGTATCTTTTACTGCAACAAGCATAAATAGTTATTTGATTTGTGTCACGGGTGTGGCTCAAGTAGTGCAGGTCATACACTATTGCTGGTTCAATCCCTGGCTCCTCCATTTTGTGTGTGCTGAAGTGTCCTTGGGCAAGACACCTAACCCCTGACAGCTGTACTGGCAGTATGTGTGTTTGTTAGGGACACAACAGTAAAGGCTGGGACACATGGTTCATTTCAAAACTTTATTTAGCCAAATCAATCGTTCAATCAAAAAAAGAACGGAATTGCAAATGTTAAGAATACCATTAATACTCGGTCCTTTAACTCAACTGAGGTTAACAAGGAACCATGAGTGTGATCAGGAAGGGAAAATAATCCCCTTTTCTCACCACTATTCCCTGACCCCTACGGAAAACGTCACAAGGTCAAGGAAAGATGTTGAGAGGATGTAAGGAGTAAGGAAAGAACCCCGGTGTGACTCCTCTTACACTCAGCTTATTTTGATCTTTGATTTGTGGTGAGTTACTGGATCATTAAAACATTTGAGAACTTCAGAGGGAAAAAAGATTTTAACATCTCAGACATTTGAAATAACTAAATTTCTTTTTCCGAAGCAACTATGATCACAACTAGTGATTTAGTTTTTAACAACGTGTTTTAACAGCTTATTATATTATCTATTGTTTCAAAATTTCATTTTAAAGGATCAGTGTAGTGGAATATCTAATAGAATTATTTATTTCTGAAATGTATTAGAGTAGAAATGTGCAGAAGAATAAAGAGCAAATACCAAAGTACAAGTGCTTACATGTTATGAAATCAAAAAGCATATGAACTGAGCATCTGTGGGTCTCTTCACATTCTCCTATATTTCACTTACTCCTCTGCTTTCTGGGAACTTCCCCTGATGACAGAAAGCTACAGTTCAGCTTTGGTCAAGAGAGGTAATGTAACTACATGACCATAGAGACTCAGAGATTATTATTGTATTTGTGTGGTGTAAGACATATCTGAGATCATTGCCTGAGTTAAGATCATCTTTGTGCATAGTAGTCATATTTCTATAGTGGTTTTTGTAATGACAGCAAAGGAATTGAAATTGAAATTTCCCCTGGAGAATGATAATTAGTTGAACATGTATCTTCAGGTCTCTGCCAGGCAGGGAAAAGCCATCTGACAGGACAGTTAACAGTTAACTGACATATTTCAAATAATTACAGCAAAAGTCACAAGGATTAGTTTCTATTTCTCCCAGTGTACATTTATTATATTTGACTTGTCAACATTTGTACTCTAAGAAGAAAACTTAAACTGGTTTATCTGTACTTAAACAGACCACCCTGACAACCAAAGCTTCTTAGATGAGCTCTAAAAGGACACATTTTACTAGTGGTATGCTACTAAGTACTACACCAGCACTAAGAACAGTGCATGCAAATCTCAGTTCTCCGAGTGACTTCCTAAGTGACCAGAATGCTTAATCAGATATACTTTAGAATAGAATAGAATGCCTTTATTGTCACTATACACATGGACAATGAGATTTAAAAACCACTCCAATAACAGTGCAACCAGTGTAAAGATATATACAATATAAACATAGGACATAAAGTAAGGTAAGTAACAGTGCAAAAAAGAGGTAAGGTGCATGGTCTTGAGGAATATGTACATTTACAGATAAATACAGTGTTTAATAAATATGTATATTGCACGTTATGGTATGGATATTACACATTGTGAGGTATTGCACAGCAGTGGGGTGGTTGGACTGTGGAATCAGTGCATGTGGGAGTTCAGGGTGGTTATTGCTTTAGGGACGAAGCTGTTTTTAAATCTATTAGTTCTTGTCCTGATGCTCCTGTAGCGCCTCCCTGAGGGCAACAGGTCAAAGAATTAACTGGAATGGATGATTAACAAGCTTTGGAAATGACAAAGGTGTTAAAAACCAAAGTTTTAAGTGCTCCTTGATTCTGCTGAATCTTTTATTTGCCATTTTTGCCTCTCCTTCCATCTGCTACTTGGAGAGCTAGCAGTGACGCTTGTCTGACATAGCATTACATTATCTGAAGTAGCCATCAAGGTACAGTAGACAGGATGTGTTGAGTCAGGGGCTGAATGTGAAATCTTTCTGTCGAGTCACAGTGGGCCAAGACAGTGCCAGCAAGGGTGGAGTGACACAATCCTTCAGGAAAAGCGCCCTATGAGCAATTGGGGGGGTACGGTGCCTTGCTCAAGGGCACCTCAGCAGTGCCCAGGAGGTGAACTGACACCTCTCCAGCTACCAGTCCACCTTCCATGCTTATGGTCCATGCTGGACTTGAACCGGCAACCCTCCGGTTCCCAAGCCAAATCCTTATGGACTGAGCTACTGCTGCCCCCAAATTACCGTTTGTATTACCGTACAAATAAGCAGTTTTTCTCTGGGTCGTTCCATTTGAATCCTCAAAGAGGCGTTGGCTTTGCGTGAAAGGAGGAGGAGGGCTGGCTCTGAGAAGGACCTCTTTACTCAGAGTAAATAATAACGGAATGTGAACTCAAAAACATCAGTCCACATTAAGTAGGCTCATACAGTGACTGCATTCACTGCCTGCACCTCTACCCATGAATTGGGCTTTTGTCCATTAAAGAATGAAATAGACAGTATTTCTTGAAATATACGTCATTGAAAGGTCTGTAGCAGCATGCCGCACATCGGTTACAGATTTACGTTAGTTAGCAGCACCCAGATCAATGTCAGAGGAGTCCGCAGACTAAGGTTAGACAAGTGGGCGAGACTTGAAGGCCTCGGAATGGCCCAGCAGTTATGAAGACAAATATTTCCCCACTGGATCAGTAAGAGACGGAAAGGTGTGTTTGGAGAGGAGACAGAGGGGGGCTTTGTCCCCTTCTCTGACAGGTCAGCTCTCCCAATCTCCCCCCATTTCTCTCTCCCTCAATCCCACCTTCCTGCTCCCTCGTTCCCCTGCACTCTGCAGGAGCTCACACAGACCTTCTCCCTTGAAAGATGCTATCGCTTCTCTGCCGTTCCATCCTGCTCATCCTTGCTCAACAGGTAGGAAGAATATTTTTTTGATTCTAATACTACAGGCAAACAGGGGTTTTTGACAGGGCAACACATTGAGACACTAAAAACCTCCCATCCAGAATGAGTTAAAATTATTTTTGGAAAGACTTTCAGAAATTAGAATTTTGATTCATAAACCCTTGGAATGCACTGAGTGGTTCTCATTGTTATTTCATCTTATTTGCTGGTAAAAGACAAACTAGGTTGGAGGTCTTTATACTCAAAGCTCCTGTGGACCCATTTTCACACCATGAAATGAGCTCATTCAGTAAACCTGGCAGACAGGCTTCAGATTTTTGGCATATCCCCCAGTGACCCTTGAAAGCACTTAGCAGCCAGGGAATCTGGAGCACAAGTAGCACCACACAAGAACTGCATCTTAGCGAAAACAAACCAGAGCAAACCCAAACTATTACAGCTCTGAACACTATTATCAGATGCTGGAATGCCACCACCGTAGTTTTCACTTCCCAATGGAGGTAAACTTTGAACGGGATTGTACTGTATCTGCAGTTGGTTTTAAAAGATTCAGCCATTTGATTTAAACATGGATATCTAACAAGAATAATAGAATACTTGAAACACAAACTCAACAAGTTAATTAAACATTAACTGTGGAAAGAAGTTTCGATTCTAGCTCATACCTCTTTTACATCAAACTCGCTAAAAGATGGCAATTAACTTCTTTCTGATTGCCAGTGGAGGAGAGAAATGACCTGTGTTTTTTCCCACCCGGGTCACGTTCAATATCGCAAATGCACTGAAAACTGAAAAGCTCTCTCACCTCTCCATCTTGTCTTGAATTAGCAAGTTCACCCGGTGATCCGTCTCCATCACTGCCGATCAGAGCCAGAGTCGATAAAAACCTGTAACTGCTGGGCCAGTGGGTTTTTTTGGCTGCCCACGAAGACGAGGTCAAACTCTGTCTTAGTAATTTGATGCTATAAAAACGAGGTGAGACATTGTGATTGGCAGCTGAGCTTGGCATACAATTGGTTGAGTGTATTGGTGGGACCTCAATATGGCAGCTCCGCCCCACGACCATTGACTCTGGCTCCAAATGACATCACCATTGCAACACTGCTGCATCTGAACATGACACTTCAAGGGTCTAATTTTGTTTTTATCCACTCAAGGCGTTTTACAATATATTGACATTCACCCACTGACACACAATCATACTATGCTTCTATATCAGCATGCCTATCACTCTCACATTCCTGTCTACAGCGGGTTGTCCACTAATCAGTAGGTTGCTGGTTTGATCCCTGGCTCCTCCATGGTGCTGGTTGTGTGTGAATAGAATGCACATAAAAGCATCTACAGTTGTGTGATGTGACTCGTAATGTTTGGGTCGTATCTAAGAGCAGAAAAGTGCTAAATAAATGCAGTCCATTCACACAGCAGCAATCGTTTAGTATGTTGCATTATGTAGTAACACATGGACTGGAGAACATGTTTATTTACCAGTCTGAATGAAGGGAAGAGCTGTATCCAGTTGTGGAAAGCAATGCTACCCTACAGCTTCCAGTCTGCCCTGGAAACGTGGCAATGTTCAGAGCGTGAAATACATTTTGTCTTGTCGAGAGCCCAGACCAACAACATCCGCTCCTCGTTAGAAGATTCAAGATTTTTATTGTCAAATACACACGAGAGCACACGTTTCCCTGTGAATTGAAATTCTTGTGCTGTCCTTTCTGGAATACCAGCCGACCAAAATTTATATAAAATATAAAAAGGATATGAACATGTTTAAGAGTAAGGCAGAAACAAGGCGAATGAGGTGAATAAGGTGAGGATTGTGCAAAACTGAGCAGTGCAAATTGAACATTCACAGTGAAAAATTAAGTAAAATGCATACAATATAAATGTAAACAGTACAAATGGAATACTTTATGTTAAAGTGCAGACCAGTGTTACAGTTTGCGAGGTAGGTTATAGACTCCTGTCAGCTGCTGAGGAGTCTAATGGCAGTGGGGAAGAAAGAGTGTTTGAGTCCTACATTTAACGCTTCTATACCTCCTGCCTGAGGGTAGAAGTGTGAACATTCCATGTATTTGAGGTGGGTGGGGTCTCAAAGAATGGAGGCAGCTCTCCTGTGAACCCTGCGGTGGTAAATGCTCTGCAGAGAGGGCAGTGAGGTCTTGTGGATACATTCAGCAACAGAGACAACTTACAAATAGCACATTTAAGGTTTCTGAAATTCAAACATACTATCTCAAACGTGCCATGCTCTTACCACTAAAATTGGTATTTTGCAATAACTGAAGTTATGAACCAACAATGTCAATGTATAAAATGAATCCATGACCTATCAACATATATATAAATATAAACACATGCTGATACATAGTAAACTACTATTCTCAGTGCAAAATAAGCAGGGGAGCTAAACTGGTATGATGTTCTGAACTGGTTAGTGAGTCTGTTATGTGCAAAAACATATTTATCTTTGACAACTTATTACTTATTTGCAACAGTGCACTTTGAACCAATCTGACTCTATCTCTCTCCTCATGCAGTGCCTCAGCAGGGCTCAGAACAATGGCCCGCTGCCTGCTCCTCGGGGCGGACAGTCCACGGCTGAAAGGCGGCAGTTCTGCCAGTGGCCCTGCAAATGTCGGGAGAGACCTCACTGTGCCCCGGGGGTGAGTGCCGTCCTGGATGGGTGCGGCTGCTGCAAGAGCTGTGCCCGGCAGATTGGGGAACCATGCAACGAAAGGGACATATGTGACCCGCACAAGGGCATGTACTGCGATTTCTCAGCAGACAAGCCCAAATATGAGGTCGGAGTGTGTGCATGTGAGTGGCTCTCATCTTTCCTTTAATTAGTCATCAAAGGGTAAAAAGGGGAAGCGACACATTTTGAGTTTCAAACTAAATCTATGGTGTTAACATTGTTGAGTATGAATGTCAAACATTAGAATTCACTTTACTTTTGCTTGCCTGGCGTTGGTACATTGCATTGCAGGGGCATGGATCACTGAGATGAATGAGGAGGCTGTGTTTTCTGTTGCAGCACCACTGGGCATGAAACAGCCTTTTAGGCCATGTGCATGTTCATTAAGCCTCAAGTGATGAAGCTAAGCGGTGAAGCAATTTTTGTGTAGTGACTTCACAGGGTATCACAACTTCTGGGTCCAAACATTTTGTCTTTGAGAGGTCGTGACTACAAAACCGCTACATAAATACAGACTATTTACCATATCTTATCTTATGACAAATCCCCCTGATATGATTCTTTGTTTTTAACAGAATTATCTTTTTTCTGTGAAATAACATTTGGAAAGTTTTGAAGAGCAGAGCAAATGATTGAATCATGTTCAGTGTTGGACGTGCCCTTCAAATCTAAAAAAATTAAGAGGCTGTTGCTGCATGTGAATTCTGTGGGCAACTTTATTGGACTGAACAATGTCCAATCTTAGAATGTCTTCGTGTTCATTTCTGCTTTGTAAATGGACTGCACTTAAGTAGTGCTTTTCTAAAAGTCTTGTTGAGGACTCAATGCAGTACAGGTCAAATTCACCATTCACTTACACATTCATACAGAATTTTCTATCTCACATAACTCACACACTGGTGACACAGCCATCAGGGTAATTTAGAGTTCAGTGTCTTGCTCGAGGACACTTCGGCATGCGGACAGGAGGACCTAGGATCAAACCATGACCTTCAGGCTAATGAACAATCCCCCCTACCTCCTGGGCCATAGCTGCATGTCTCAACATTTTTCCTTTTAGTCCAGCAGTTTACATGCATCTGACAGAACAGACCACATTTCTCGAGTGCTTTCCTTACAGTACTGTGGCAAAGGTTTCAGGCACCTGATCCGTAACAGAATCCACAGAACAACTGTGTCAGGTTCTCCAAGATAGGAGCACATACAGCGGAAGTAAAAGAGAAGAGCTGGCGCTGTTTGAAAGGGAAAGGGAGGTTACAGCTAGACTTTATATTTATTTCTGAATGACATTATCCTTACACTGCATTCCAAGTCTACTTCCTTCTGTGTGTAGCTAAAGGTGGTGTAATAAAAGTAATAGCACTACAAAAAAGTAATAACCCTATAGTAAATAAGTTTTGAAATATACACGTTTAGTATTAATTATTCTTTGTGAAGAGAATACTGGTGAATTACCTCCATCAAGGCGGTAATTCAAGTTAATCAATGGATTGTCACCACACTTGGTGGAAGGGGCACGTGCCAAGAAAGAACCCATTCCATTTTGCTGCAGGCCTGGGCAAAGAGGCAGATCCAGGACTTTTTTTTAAACCGCAAGAATTGGGAGATTTTCTATTGACATCATATAATATGTGATTTCCTTAGGGAACTATTGGGGCTAAACATTTGAATATCGTTTTGTACAAATGTGACCGTTTGCAACAGGATGATGAAGGAAAAAAATTACTTTACAATTCTTGAAATCTATCACTCTATGACTATATTTTCAAGTTCCTGTCTGTGAAAAGTATGCTGCAGTTTATGGAGAATCACAAAAACAAAAGCTTTACGTTTCAGCTTTTGAGTTTCAATAACATCCCACAGAGAGGTGATCTGATGCTCGCAGCAGATCCCTGAGATGTTTCCCTCGTTCTTTCAGACATGATGGCCGTGGGCTGTGACCTAAATGGGGCCCACTATGAAAACGGAGAAGCTTTCCAGCCCAGCCCCCTCTATAAATGCACATGTATTGCTGGAGCCATTGGCTGCACCCCTGCTTTCATCCAGAAGCCTGCTGGTCTCTTAGGCCCCGCCCCACTGATGGGCAGCATGCCAGCTGGCCTCCGCGGTCGTCAGAGCCCAAAGAAGCACCAGCAGGACACTACCTACATGTCAGGTATGTGTTTACAGAGTAAACCATGTGGAGAAGGATAGCCTGCGTGGAATGCTAATTGCTGTTAGAGTTGGCTTGATGGGAAGGGGAGAGAGGGCATTTGATTACTCTGGTGGCGTGAGCAGAGTGAGGTGTGATTGACTGTGGTTAGACTGCCTGTCAAAACAGGAAGATGGATGGTGCCTGCTATAAAGAGCACTTGCTTACTGAAAGCACCAAATATCTGACTCTGATGCCTGATGTCTTTTATTTGCTTTGACTGGCATGAAACTGTGATATTAGGACACATGAATCTGTCACTGTGAGAAAACAATTTTAAATTTAAGAGCTAACATCCACACTAGGTGGGAAGGTGCTTAAAAGGTCGTTCTGGCTGAGTGGCTTCTATGAAGTTAACAAAGAACTGGGCACTGCAATAGGAGCTCTCACTGGTATATTTGCAGCTCAGATGAAAACATTTGTAAGTTTAGTAGCATACATTGACTCCTCTGGTGGCTCAGAACAGAGATTTGATGCTTGTGTGGTCCTGACCTGTGCTCTGCTTGGCAGTATGGTAGCAACAGGTTCATAGTTTATGTAGGGTGTTGTTGACACAATGCCCTTTAATTGTAATACTGAAAGCTTACAGGGATCCTCCTTTAGCCTGGAAGAAGAACTGTCTGGTCCAGACCACCCCCTGGAGTCCCTGCTCCAAGACCTGTGGCCTGGGAATCTCTGTGCGTGTTAACAACGACAACAGCAAATGTGAGATGAGGAAGGACCGTCGCCTGTGTCTGCTGCGACCATGTGAGAGGAGTGTTATTAGGAGCATTAAGGTTAAAAACTATTTCTTTTCAAATATTTAAATTATTTTGTATAAACCTGAGTAAAGGTACTAACCACTGTATTCAACTTTAGATGCCAAAGGGAAAGACATGCCGGCCTAAATTCCAGGCAAAGACAGCGGAGAAGCTGACACTCTCTGGCTGTGCCAGTATCAAAAAGTTTAAGCCCACATACTGCGGCGTCTGTACAGACAAACGCTGCTGTGTACCAAACAAGTCACGCATGATCAAGGTCAACTTCACTTGCAAAGGAGGCTCCAACACACAGTGGAAGATGCAGTGGATAACGTCCTGCGTGTGCCAGAGGAAGTGCAACAATCCGGATGACATGTTTTCTGAGCTGCGGTTACTCTAATGGAGCCAGAGACAGACACGGGCTCTGAGCCATGCTGTGGTGATGGACCCGAGACTAAAGACAAAACCATAAACCTCATTTCATAATGAAGGATGGCTGGGATCATGAAATGCATGAAAAACCATGAAAAATGCTGTTGGCTATGATAAAATGTTTTACGAAACCACGTCTTCAGGATAAGTACGTGCAATAACGACATGGGCTATGGTCAGCGTAGTAGCTGAAACAGCACATTTGATTCATTTTAGTACCTCATTACACAATGGTCAGTGAGCCCACAACCACAAATCAACTCTTAGTGATGCTGTTTAATTTTTGGACAGAAAAAATATTTCATCTGGTCAGAAATAAGACAATTTGGATTTCTAACTTTTAAAGGTGTATACAAACCATTCGTATAAATAAATAAATAAAGCAACAAAATACCAAACAGTAAAATTGGCAAGCAAGAGTGGACCTTCATCTGGCGATGCTGAGCCTGGCTGCGTCATGCATGAGCTTCCCCTTGGTGGCATCAAGATCATTGTACTCTTCAATCAAGGAGCTGAGAGAGGTGAGGGCCTCTGAGAAGCTTCTCTGCTCCATCCCATCTACATTCAGGTAGTGATGTAAGTGAGCCTTCAAAAAAAAAAAAAAAAAGAGTCAAGAATCAGTTAATCTGGATTCAAAATATTCTCTTGACCTTTTTGATGATATAAAAGCACATTGTCAAAAGCACTTCATCCTTTAAGGCAACTTTGTCTGAACATTTGTAAGAATTCTGACCAAAAATTAGTTTGAGACCAAGTGAATGTTTGTGGCAAATGTGAAGAAATTCCCTGAAGCATTGAAATATCTCTTGCACAAGAGTGGGACAGACGTGTGTGAATATGTTTTTGGACACGGCTTTCCCCTGTGCAGCCAAATATCTCTGTTCACATTTTTTTGAAATTGTATATACACCATACTTAAACACTTTTAGAAAAATAGCTTATTGATAATTGATTCTATAATAAAATGATTCTTAGTTTGCAGCCCTAATCCATAAATACGTCATACACCATAGTCTAAAATATGCAATGGCTTTAAAAGCACCTTCTTCCTGTAGAGCTTGGAAAAACGCTCTCTCAGCTCCATGAATCTAGACTTCACACACGTGTTGTTGGCCAAGGCTAACAGGGCGTGAGAGTGACCCACGGGAGGCACTGAACACAGGCCCGTCTTCCAGCCTTCTTGGTTCCATGAGACAAAGGGAAGCGATGGCCTCAATCTAGGACAGGGACAATCAAAGAAAAAATAAAGAAGAAA